AATACATAATGCAGCAACAAAAAACAAAAAAAAGACCACAAAGAGAGTGAATATCAGTTTAGATGTGACATAACTATGTTACATCTAGATGTGTCCTAGACGGACCCTTCGGAAAAATAGTGAATTTTGAAAAGATTGTTGTGCTGTTCAGTGTTCACATGACAAAATTAGAGAAATAAGTTTTGTAAAGAGAAAAGCATGGCAAATTGCACGGTCCAAAAACAAAGATAACTGGGGTACTTCAGCTGAGTGGTTTATCTCCAGTGAACTATTCGTTCCCTCTAGGAGGATCAAACCAGCCAACCAGGCCATGACGAAGACCAATATGACCTGCCCTGGCCCCGACTTCTACTAGGCTGGCGATTTTTACCGGGCACTTTTATAAGAGAAGAATTACGAATTTTGAAAAAAAAATGGTTCTGCTGTTCAACATGACAAATTAGAGAAATAAATTTTGTAAAAAGGAAAGCATGGCAATTTTCCATGGTCCAATAACAAAAATAAAAATAAATTACCTATACAGGAAGTGCCTACAAAATGTGGCAAATAAAAACAAAAATCTAGTTGCCAACCCTTTTACAATCATTACTGGACAATTCATTTTTGCCGAGTGTCAGCGTCTTTGCCGAGTGAATTTCGTCTGGGACTCGGCAAACATGTCTTTGCCAAGTGTCGTCGAAAAAAAATACTCGGCAAAAAAGCAAAACTCGGTAAACAGGTGCTTTCCCGAGTGTCGTGGATGAAACGCTTGGCAAAAAATGCTTTCTTGAGCGCTACACTCTGCAAAAGGGTATCTTTCCAGAGTGCTACACTAAGCAAAAATGGGTATTAGCTGGGCTGCACTGTTTTCGTTGTCGAGATTGCATAAGGCCTCAGATGAAGATGATCTAAAAATTAAAGTTTTTCATTTTGACGAGGCGAATAATTTTTCCGTTGAGCACATTTCATTAAGGCAATCTTAATTACACTTTTTGCCATGACAAAATATGGTTTCAACACATGCCCCCTGCAAATGCATGGAAAAGTTTGCAAAATTAAGTTGAAAATCCTATTTGTGGTCTTTAGTCTTTGTTAGGCCTTGTCCAGGAAAAGGGGAGGAATTTCAAACACTCCCTCCGTCCCAAAATTCTTGTCTTAGATTTGTCTAGATACAGATGTATCTAACATTAAAACGTAACTAGATACATCCGTATTTAGACAAATCTAAGACAAGAAGTTTGGGACGGAGGGAGTATGATGGTGCCAAGAATGAACCCCAAACATTAAGTTATCGGGGGAAGAATTGTGGTTTCGAGAGAAAACATGTCACCTTTGCAGGCAATGTGACCGCTGCTTCATCCTTTGGCCTTGATTTTTTTTTTTGTATACTCAGTAGATACCGTTACATGATCCGTGTAAAAATTTGGCATCTTTCGGGGTACGTTAGCTATATTTAAGCAAACAAATCCATTTCTAGGTAATTAAAACCTTGTTCCATTTTCAGAGAGCCGCCACCGTCTCGCCTTCCTAAACAGGACATAAAACCTAACAAAACTTAAAGAAACATCTAAAAATGGAGCCCTCCCTCCAGAAAGGGCCGGGATCCACCGTGTCCCCATGGCCCTAATACCACCGGAGACGAGGCGGAACGACGGCGGTGCCAACGGGAGGCAGAGGACCACTAAGCTTGTTTTTAGGGAAGAGGCGGCTGCGTGAGGAGGTGGCACACTAGTAGGCTTTGGTGCAGAATTTCCATGTATTTAATGATGCAGAAGATCACACTTAGAAATATTTTGACCAGTAAAGTTCTAGATGGTCTTACATTTTGGATCGTCTAATTCAAGGGGGGAATAAAGATTGTGTGAGCATGGACACTGTCATTAAGATGTAATTTGAGTCTTCAACCACTCGCTTATGCTGCAACACATGTATAATGGCCAACTAAACAAATGATGTTTCAAGAATACTTCTCAAGACAAATATATGCACATGATTTTATTTTTTGAAGTTTCTGATCTATACTACTCCCTCTGTTTTTAAATAGAAGACATTTTAGAGATTTTAATATGAACTATATACGGATGTATATGGACGTATTTTAGAGTGTAGATTCATTCATTTTGATCTATATGTAACCATATTGAAATCTCTAAAAAGACTTATATTTAGGAACAGGGAGTAGATAGTAAAAACGGTATGGATGGCCAAAGTATTTAATGTTTTAACTTAATATATACTCTCTGCGCCTGGAAATACTTGTCGAACAAATTATCTAGACATATTTTAGTTCTATATACATCTATTTTTATGCATTTCTACGAAAAGTAATTCTGGACGGAGGGAGTTTGTGAACCGCAGGAAGCACGGTGGCATCAGAATAGGACGTCGATTTGTTTGTACCCCAAGATGCTTCCCGTTGCCGTGCTTGACTCACATGCCCACCAAGTCTTCCTTGTTTCTAACACCACACAACTTGCTGGTAGGTGGTACTGGTTTTTAGGAGAAAATGGAGGCCACAGCAATATGTACATACGTTGAGGCGACCAGCTAGCAAACTAGCGGCGCACAACTTAGCCACCATAGACGCGTGTGTATGTTTGCAAGTGTAAACTTTGAGAGGAGATCGTTGCATCTTCTCCGACGAATCTCCGGCTCACCTGTGCAGCCGGCCCCATCGACCTCCTACCTCTGTTAGTCTCGATCTCAGGTGAGCCTCTGATGACCATACCAGTAGTCTTAATCACAGTCCACTCCGTTTTCATGGTGCCTCCGAATAGAAATCCGAATCACGTGTCCTGATTCCTCCGGTAACCAACCCTGCCACTTACTTAGAACGAGTATAGACCAATCCCCTGATCGAATTGGACAGGCGTGTCAGATTGAATTTATTCCTGTATTTATTTCCTATGTTACTTAGCTTGCGTTCGAACTGTCTCCTTCACCCCAGAAGCTGTAACAGTGAGGCATTATTATTCTTTTAGCACCAAGAGAACAACAGTAAAGGAATTATGTTGCCATGTACGTAGCTAGCATGCTTAATTTGTAAAAGGAAAAAAGCAGACTTATTTCACCTTTCAGTTGTTGTAGGTGCGTCTATGGCAAGTGCTTGCTGAAAGCAAAATGTATGAATTGTTCAATTAACGCATCACTTGATTCATTTCTACGGATGGTCATCCTGGAGATAATCAGGAAAATATCCAACCTGACCACAAACCAACAGTGAGACATTAGCAACTCTCGAGAAAGTAATGGCTGAGATTGTGCTTCTTCTGGTAATTGAGAAGATCGGAGTCGCCTTGGCAAATGGAGCAGCACATCGGGCCAGTGCACAATTTTCCAGGTACGCGGCCCGACTAATAGAGCTACAGGGCAGCATGGGTCGTGTTGTTAGGGAGCTTCGCATAATTCATGATGTTCTATGCCAAATGGACATTCGAAACCGCCACAATCAAGTGTATGAGGGCTGGTTGGATGAGGTGCGGAAGGTAGCACATGCGGTGGAGGATATGGTGGATGAGTACATGTATCAAGTTGGCCAGGAACATGATACTAGGTGTTGCTTTTACCTGAAGAAAGGGCTTAGAAAACCAAGATCTCTGCTTTCCTTGAATCAGATATCTTCCAAAGTGAAGGAAATAGAGAAAGACCTTGCACACCTGTCAGAGATGAAAACCCGATGGGTTCCCATGATAAACAATGAAGATACTAGCAGCTTGAATTACATGATCAAGAAGTCTCAAGATCTAGCAAACATTTCACGTTCCCTTGATGACGAAGATCTAGTTGGGGTGGATGAAAACAGAGGAAAACTTGAGCAGTGGTTGGGAAGTGATGATGTGGAACGTTCCCTGATAACACTGATAGGAATGGGTGGACTAGGCAAAACAGCTTTAGCTTCAAATGTCTATAGAAAAGAGAGAGAGAAATTCCAGTGCCATGCATGGGTCTCCATCTCTCAAACTTATTCTAGAGAAGATGTCTTGAGAAATATAATGAAGGAACTATTCAAAGATAAAGTCAGTGGTCCATCAAACATTGCAGCCATGGACATCACAAGCCTTGAAGAGACGTTGAAGAGATATCTAGGGAAAATGAAGTATTTGATCATATTAGACGATGTTTGGACTCCAGATGCATTTGATGACTTGTCTAGAACACTTGTTTGTAATGGTAAGGGAAGCAGATTGATAATCACAACACGACAGGGTGATGTTGCTGCACTTGCTTCTCGAGGACACATATTAGCACTTGAACCTTTACCAGAAGATAAGGCTTGCTATTGTGTCAATTGGCAGCCTCTTGCATATGCGTGAGAAAACCATTGAAGAATGGAAAAGAATAAATGACCAATTGAGTTGGGAGATAATTAATAACTCAAGGTTCGACCACATAAGGAATGTGTTGCATCTAAGATACATCTACCTTCCAACACACTTGAAAAGTTGTTTCCTGTACTGCAGCTTATTTCCAGAAGACTATCTTTTCCACAGAAGAAAGCTTGTACGACTATGGATGGCGAAGGGGTTCATTGTCAAGAAGGGTGCGAGCACATTAGAAGAAGTGGCAGAAAGCTATGTTAAGGAGTTGGTCAACAGAAACATGCTTTAACTTGTTGGAAGGAACTCATTTGGTAGGATGAAGAGATTCAGAATGCACGATATCATACGTGAACTAGCTGTTGATTTGTGCAAGAAGGATCGTTTTGGTGTTATATATGAGGAGGATAAATGTGGGGGGTCTCTTCAGAGAGATGGTCGTCGATTGGTAGTGCACAAATTAAAGAAGGATATTCAACAACCATTTTCAGTATACACGTACTTCGAACTTTCATTACACTGGAGAAAAGCATGTCCTCATTCGAGCGAGGGCTTTTGGCGGCCACGCTACAGGCAGGCCGCTATCCCGACCGTTTGTTTGGGATTGGGGATCTGTAATGTGTCAGTGTGTGGCAGGCTTGTGCCAGGCCTACTACCTGAAATACGGTCTGGGATACGGCTATCCGACGCCTAGGCGTATCCTGTTCTGCCCATACTACCTACCTGTTCACGCGCATCCAGAAAGACTGGCCCATAGGTGCTGGTTGACGCTCCCCCTCCCTCTCTCCCGTCTGTGCGGTGGTTACCGTTGGCGACCGCGCTCCCCTTTAGCCGTGGCCCGGAGACCGGTTGCAGCCTCAGGGCCTCACCCTCCCTCGGCTGCCACGACCGAAGCGACGGCAGGAGCGCTCGTCCTCTTCCACTACGGCGGCCAAACCACCCGGATCCAGCGTCATCTTCCACTCCGGCAGCCGAATCAGCTCGAGTTTGCAGAACACCTGATCTGCTCAGGGTGAGGTCCTCGTCCATGGATCTGGCCGGGAAAAGACATTTCTTCCATTGTTTCGGTGAGGCAGGATCACACGTTATGTACTTATGCTTTTTCTCTTAGCTGGTGTTCATGTGTGTTCTAGAGTTGCATGTTTTTGGCGATTTTAATTTTGTTCCTTACTATTGCTTTGGCATGGCTGATTTGGCTGCATGGATGGATCGAGATGTAAATCATTTGTGTTGATGAACCCATAATAGAGTGCTCTCTGATAGTGTGTACATTTGCGATTTTCTTTTGCAGATCCGAATTTCCTGTGATGTTTTTTAGACGATGTATGTGATGGATAATCATGAGGGGGAAATGTTATTCATGCCCATGCATATTTGCCAGATCGGCTTAATTTTTTACATCATGTTTTTTTGGGGGTGCTAATTCATACAGTTTCAACTTTTTGCACTCCATGTGCTATTAAACTTTGATTAGTGATTATTCTTAACGAACTGTTCAAATTGAGATAGTGTAATGATGCACGGTTTACAAGCTGTCCTATTGACAACTGTTGCTGTTTCATATGGATTTTGAAATGGTATAGTGTAGGATTGACCACTAAATTTGTTTTAGTGTGCGCCAGACTTTTGGTTTTATAGTATAGGATTTTTTGGTCCTGGATTGTGAAATCCTGATGAACTATGGGTCACTGAATTTAAGATAATTTAGAGTTCAGACTATAACTATGTCTCACTTAATTTAGGATAAATTAGAGTTCAGAGCAAACACATGCATCAACAGCTCAAATCAGATTTCAGATATAATCCGGGATAGGATAATTTCAGTTGATTTAGGGTTCACGCTGTTTATCTTTGTTCTGCTGGTTACCAGACTACAACTCATGTGCATTGGGTGAACACGCATCAGGTTTTAGAGTTCAGGCAATTTATTTTGGTTTATTTATAATCAAACCCAAATGTTGTGCCATGAATCCAAAACCATTATTTTCTGCAATCAGTGATACTCCCGTAATCATGAGTATCTGTTAGTCTACATTATGTATAGATTTAGTTGTTTTTATCTTTATCCACCCATCGATTAGTTTACTAAAATTTGTTCACTGTGGTGCATTATGTTCTTTAACTGCAGTACTGAAGCGGATCGAAACATTTAACAACAAATCAGCTCTTAAGTAATTAACTAAGACTTGATGGTTGTGCCATTATTATAGTAATACATTTTTGGGCTTAAATTATCAATCTGACTAAAATTTCCTGTTTTTGTGTTACTCTTATAGAATAGTGTCTTTTTGCCCTGAATTCTTAACGTAACTGATTTTTTTTTGCTAGGGTAAAAGGATAGGAAAAATAGCTATCGAGCGTGAGTGGGGTTTCATTCTGGTTTGGCGTTGAACATTTCTTTTTTTGCAGAGTAGGGTTTCATTGAAAGCTAACCTGCCAATCGAGAGGCATATGCCAGTATGGTTTACACCTGGGTGATTTTTGATCAATTTGGCGAAGCTCTGTACAAAGCTGGTGCATATCGAGGGCCACAGGTGTACAACCTGCCCCCAAAGAGGTGATTTGCCGAAGGCTCCAAGGAAATTGCCCGAAATGCACGAACTGTGGGGTGGTTGGACATCGTCGCGATGCTTGTGGCACTAAGAAGAGCGGGCCGCTTGAGCCAAATTTGGCGAAGTTCTGTACAAAGCTTTGCAATATTTGTGGCAACTATTTCTGTTTTATGATGCACATGTTTCATTTGCTGCCCGTATTACCGAACCTGGACTCCTTGTCATGTTTTAGCTGATTTATTTAGCATCTCCTAGTGTGGACTGCATAAAGCCTTTGATCCATGTTCTGTGCTAGTGTCCAAAGCAAACTAGTACATCCTGCTGCTGTGAAAACCGAAAATGGTTGTTTTGCTAGCTATGGATTTGACCAGGAATCTATTGTGGGGTTTTAGGGCTCCTTTGATTCAAAGGAATTTCATAGAATTTTTGGAGGGTTAGAATCATTAGGAATTGTTCCTGCATTGGTCGTTTGATTCATGGGAATTTGTCCTACGGAATCATGTGTAATCTAGCATCCACTCCAACATCTTTTTTCTCATTTTCTTTGTTTTTCCTATGGCATCAAACACTCTGTGCTAATCCTATGGGATTCAAGTGGGCATGCCACTCCAATCCTTTATTTTTCCTATTCCCGCGTCTTGAGAATCCTATGAATCAAAGAGGGTCTTAAATTGCTACTTCCTCTGTAAACTATTGTTCTTGTCTTTCTGAATGTGTTAGTCACTTTCGGTGATTTGTATGGGCTCCTGTGTTGTTTCCAGTAATACAAAGGAACTCTTCTACAAAATCCTTGTTGGCATGCTTACCTCCGTTAACATGTAGCCATGAGAGATGATTCTTCTCCACTTATCCACTAGTGTCATGGTCACCAGGCACGTACGAGTTCCTTGTAATCCGCTTACCGATGCACGGCATGGCACCCCAAAACTGATGAAATGACAAGGCTGGTCATAGCTTGACTAGGGTGCTCAATATTGTGACTAGGGATGAGTGCAATTGACGTGACCACACAGGTAGTACATGCAGCAGGGTGCGGCATGGGTTGCGACCTGGCATGCGCGTGGGCGGTCGTGCAAGGAGCCGCCTGTTCTGAAAATCTAGCAGGGCAATCTCGCCTACGCATGCTTCTAAAAACCGAAAAAATGTTCAGTTTTCCTGTTAGTTTCTTTTGGGTGTGCATGGAGTGTCGAAAATCAGAAGATATGGAATTTTTTGGTTAAGGAATCACACAACAAGTTCAATCTGGTGTATGGTTAAAATGGCATGCTTTGGTTAAGGAATCACATAGCAAGTTCAATCTAGTATATGGTTAAAATGGCACGCATGGTTTGTTCATCTCCGGCGTGGACCACACCGGGCGATTGACTAGGGAGCTCGGCTGCTCAATGTGCATGCGCGCCGTGCAGTCGGGCTAGCTGTAGGACAAGACAACTGATGGAAGGACAAAAGCTGTCCAAACTTCACGGTGGTGCTGTGACCGCCTGTAAAAGAAAGAGTGGAGACATTGCCCGCTGTGCAATAAGCATACACCTCGCCCGGGCATGCATTGTAAAACGTTCTTAACCCTTCATACACAGTAGTTAAGTCAATATGTGCATCACAATCAGATAGTTTTTTTACGTGTTATAAATGAGTACCAATCAATATGCGCAAGTATCGTCGGTGTGAGCTTGGTAGTTTTTTTACGTGTTATAAATAGATTTCACTACCAAGCTCTGACCGGGATGGTCATATTGCTGTGCACCACATTAGAATCGTCCTAATCTCTATTCCTAATTAGAAGAACGCCCGTGCGTTGCAACGAGACCACATTAACTTTAAGAGTTTAATATTAATTATGTTAATAATACATTTAATATTCTCATACATATCAAGTGACATTGGCGACCTTTTTTGTTAATTTAGCAACGGGCTCAGTTGCAACGGGCTCTTTATACATATCAGACAACTCGCTACTACTTAAACTACAACTATGACTACCAATATTTTTTTGTCAATTTAGCTCAGCAATAGTGCCTGGCTTAATAGACTGCTTTGCATTCACCCCCTCAAAAGACAGAGAGAACCAACTCAACATGTCAGAAGATTAACAGAAATTTTATTTGTATGGCATGAACATATAGCAGGAGCACCAACACATAAATCAGCAGAGAGCAGAGCACAGCATGCACACACTCGGGCCATCTATATCATACACACACAGCAACGCACACACGCATCACGCTGCCATACACATATAGAAAAGCAGGCACACACGCATCATGCGCATTGGCCGGTGCGACGCACGCAGAGCAAGTATGTACGCACGGAGAGCAAGCTAGCAAGCACGCACGCGTCCAACCTCGCCGCTGCATGCGCTGGCAGAAGGTGAGGCAGCAAGGGAGACTGCACATTGAAGCTGCCCATGCAAGGCTGGAGGTGCTGGGCCGGCGACGGCGGTGTCGG